CCCATCAACTCCTGAGCAATGTGGGACACTGTCATGGGGAAGGACTGTGTTTTGATATAGTGTTTTTCTTCTGTTGGTAGAGGAGATTGCAGATCTGAACCAGAGGTGGGAAAGTAACATCTAGAAATGGTCTGGCACTGCAAATTAGGATGTGAGCAGTCCAGTCCCTGTCCCCAGAGCAGCTGATTGCTTTTTCCAGCCAAATCTGCCAAACTGGAGTCTGTTCTTCCTCTGCCCCGCCTTCTACAAGGTGAGACTAACGGAAGATCCCTCAACCTACTGATCCCTCAAATGGCCTGTTTTGGGGTGAAGGTGTCTTGTTCCTGGGTCACTTTCCTGCAGGGCTGTTCTTCTGATGGTCACCTCCTTCCTTGACAAGCAAGGCTTGGTGATGGTGGTGCCCTGCCTCAGACTGGGTTGATCCTTCCTCTGGCCTCCTGCAGAGCAGCCAACCAGCTGGAAGGGACGTGGCACAAAAGAGGTGGAGTTATGTGTGCTCTGGTGATGCTGTCATATCGCGGGTGGGGTTTGGTCCCGTGACAGACCCAGCGGCACATCTTGTATGGGAGACAGGACACACACACACACAAGTGTATGTGACCCACAAAATGGCGTTTATTAAAACAAGAAGACAGTTTATATACAGGGGGATACAGAAGGTTCAGGAATAGAGGTGGGTTTCTTGCTGGGGAACCTCGAATCCCGTGAGCTAGTGATAAGTGAACTTGGAGGGATAGGCTGCATAGAATATGTCTGGTCACGCCAGGGGAAGGGAGAGCTTAGGGAAGAATGGAAGGATTGTCCTGGGGGCAGAGACATGGGAATCTGCAAAGGCTACAAGGCTGCGGTGAAATGTTTCTGTACATCACAGCTCTTCTCACCAGAGTGTGCAGTGGCCACAATGTAATTTGAACAGGTGTCAATAGACACATGAACGAATTTTAATTTCCCAATAGAGTCAATGTGTGTGACATCTGTCTGCCAGATTTGCAGTGGGAGTAAGCCTCGAGGGTTTACTCCTTCTGCAGGCAGTGGAGTGATGAGTTGGCAGTCGGGGCAGGCTGAAATGATATCACGAGATTGTTTTTGAGTGAGGCCAAATTCCTTTTGTAGCGCTCGGGCACTCTGATGGAAGAAGTCGTGGGAGAGTCTGGCTTGTTCTAACCGCTGTGGGACGACAGCTGACCCAGCTAAGAGGTCGGCTTGGCGATTCCCTTCTACTATTGGACCAGGAAGTGTGGTATGGGAGCGAACATGAGTGATAAAAAATGGTGAAGAGCGGTGATTTACAGCAGAAAGCAATTTTTGGAATAGTCGAAATAACTGTTCATTTTTAATTTCTCTGAGGTATGAGTTCTCACACCGCTGAACAATGCCTACTACATAATTAGAGTCTGAAATTATATTAAGGTTGTCTGAGAACAAGGACAAGGCACGAATAACTGCTGACAGTTCAACTGACTGAGGAGAGCCTTGGACCTTGTGAATGTCTTGTTGCCAATGATCCCCCTCTCTCCAAACAATGACAGCATTTCCTGTAGTACCTGAGCCGTCAGTGAAGACTGTTAAGGCATTTGGAAGGGGATTAGGAGACCAATTGGAAGTGTATTTAAGGGGAATTTTGTCAATGTTTTGGATGAATTTGCAAGGGGGGTAATGGATTTTAATTTCACCTGCAAAGTCAGATAAAGCAATTTGGAAGTCCAGGCTCATGATCAGGAGTTGTTCTAGATGTTGGGAAGTGAGTGGGAGGTAGATGTAGGCGGGATCTACACCTGCGAGTTCCCAGCACCTGGTTCTGCCCTTGTAACACAATTTGGCCAATAGTTCCGGAAGGGAAACTGTGGTTTTTGTGAATTGGTGGGAGAGAAAGATCCACTCCCATAGGCACAGCTTACTGTTCCTGTCGTAGAGTTGGCCCAGTAGTGCGAAAGGCTGAGTGGACCCTCTTAGTACCACAAGAACAGCTTCTTCTTTCTCTAGGCATCGGTGTACCTGAAAGAGATTTATTTTGTTAGCAATTAGTTTTAAGGCATCCCTAGCAGTAGGGGTTAGTGTCCGTGGGGATGTCAGGTCTGGGTTTCCCTTTAGGAGTTCAAACAATGGATGCAGGTCATCTGTGGAAAGACCCACCACAGGGCATAACCAGTTTAAGGTACCCAGAGTTTTTTGAAGGTCATTCAGGGTGGTGATCTGCAAGGGAATGGAGATTTTCTGTGGGACAATTGCTGAATTGGTAATTTGCCAACCCAGGTACTTCCAGGGAGAGGAAGTCTGGATTTTGGTTGGAGAGATAGTAAAGTTATTGCGTTGCAATGCATCCAGCACTGCGCTTGTCAGTCTCTGGACTTTGGCATCGGTGCTTGCAGCAAGCAGAATGTCATCCATGTAGTGGTAGCAGATAGTATCTGGAAAGGTAGACCTGATGGGAGAAAGGATGTTGGAGATGAAATTCTGGCAGATGGTGGGGCTGTTTTTCATCCCTTGGGGTAGAACAGCCCATTGATAACGTCGGAGAGGCTCTGCCACGTTCAGCGTTGGAAGGGAAAAAGCAAATTTTTCCTGGTCTGCAGGATGCAAGGGAATAGAGAAAAAACAATCTTGAATGTCAATAATAACAATAGGCCAGTCTTTTGGAATCATGGCTGCTGAAGGCATCCCTGGTTGTAAGGCTCCCATCGGCTTGATGATGGCATTAATGGCTCGGAGGTCATGGAGTAGTCTCCATTTACCTGAGGATTTTCTGATACAAAAGATGGGAGAATTCCAGGGGCTGGTAGATGGAGTGATGTGGCCCAATTGTAATTGTTCGTGGACTAGATCTTGTAAGATGGAGAGTCCTTCTCCTCTTACTGGCCACTGGTCTACCCAGGTTGGGGAGGAGGGAACCCAATCGAGGCGAATTGGCTGGCTGTGTCCAGCGGCCACTAGGATAAATTTGAGGTGAGGAAAACACCCCATTGGTCCAGAATGTCTCTCCCCCAAAGGTTAAAGGGGAGGTTTAAAATGTATGGCCTGGTGGTAGCCACTTGGTTTTCGGGGTTGGTTACCTGAATGATGTCTTGACTTAACATGGGAGTCTGTAGACCGCCTATACCTGTGATGTCTGTGTCGCTTTTTGTTGTGGTCCAGTGTGTAGGCCAGTCTTTTGATCTTATAATTGTCATATCTGCTCCAGTATCAAGCATTCCAGTAACCGTGATTTCCTGGTTAGCTGTTAGAGAGTAAAGGCGACATGTTAAGTGTGGGCCGGTTGTGGGAAATTTGGCCCAGTTTACCATTGGGTGGTCCTCTCGGGTGGTGTCTTCCAGGTGTTGCAGTGGCTGCAGTCGGGCTAGTGGAACATCAGTGTACAGTCGAGCTGGAAGAGAAGAAGCTTGGACATTTATGGTTAGGTTATGTGGATTCAGGTTAGACAGTATTTCTGGGACAACAGTTATCCCTTTGTCACAGCATTCTAAGTGTGGAGTCAGCAGGAATTTGTCATTTTTGTTTAGAATTTGGTTTGGATGAACAGAGACTGTTATGATGTCGAGAGTCTCTAGGATTTTGTTGTCTGTGGGAAATAAAAGGATTTCTGGCAAGTCATTAGTGGATGGAGGTTCAGGACTCTTGGGGTCATCGCGTGGTCCCTCACGCTCTATTGCCCGCTTCCCTGGACGATATGGTGAGGCTGCTGGTTATGGGTTCGGCCAGTGGTTCCTCCTCCCTTGACTTGGATGGGCTCCCCATCTTTGGTGAAAATGGAGTGGGCAGTAGCGTGCCCAGTGATACCCCTTCTTGCATATGGGACACAGGGTCCTAGGTAACTTGGGGCTAGGATCTGGGTTAGGGCAGTCTCGTGCAAAGTGTCCTGCCTGCTGGCATTTGTAGCACACACTATTAGCTCTGTGTGCTTCCATAATTGCTTCTGTGATGGCTTGTACTCTGACTGGTTCTGCCTCAGTCAATGCATCTGCTATTATTTTGCTTTCATATTTGCTTGAGCCAATGTCTTTACAGGCTTGTATCATGGACATGGGTGTGGGGTTCACCAAGGAACGGAGAACAGGCTGACAATCTCGGTTAGCCTGTTCTATAGCTAATCGGATAAACAGAGCATCTTGGGCCTCTAAAGGTTTCACTTGCCGAGCTATTGCTTCCCTCAGCCTGGTGGCAAAGTCATAAAAGGGTTCTTTAAGGCCTTGCTGTATGTGTGCAAATGAAGGAGAAGTGGTTGAGGCCTCTGCCACAGCCTTGATGGCTTCTAAAGCCAGGCTTTTTGTTTTATCTAGCCTGCCGAAGGGTATCCTTGCCTGCATTCTGCTGGAAGAGTAGGGACCCTCCCCGTACAATTCATTAATTAAATCTTCCACAGGCACTCGCAGTGCATGGTGTGAGTTCTCAGCATATTGCCTTATGAGTTTTTTCCACTCTTGTTCAAAGAGGGAATACTGCATTAGGTTTAAAATCCCCTTTGTAATTACCCGTATATCAGTTGGTGTCAGGGTGTATGCTGCAAATAAGGAATCTAGCATTCCAGAAACAAAAGGAGAGTTTAAACTATAGTCTGTAACCGCTTTTTTCGCGTCCCGTAGGATAGGGTATGGGACAGGTTCCCATTGTCGGTCCTGGTTATCGTTCTCGGAAAACCGGGAAAACTTTCAGTAAGTTCTAAGTCCCCTGCCTCTTCTGCCTGCTTTCTCGGACCCTGCCACTTATTGCTTGCGGTAGGGGAGTCACAGCCTGTGTTGCTACCGGCTGGGGTGTCTGTTGTTGCAGGGTTTCTACTCGCGGCACGGGATCCATGGGCGCAGTCATTTTTGCGGATGTTTACATCCGGGGAGTCGGCGCAGTTGGTAACACGTCGGCTCCGGCCCCTCCCCTCGGAAAAGCGGAGCGCTGCGTGGTCGTCGGGGAATGAGGGGGCGTGGAGTCAGGGCTAGAGTCACTTTGTGCGCTGACCTCATCCCGGGGTGGGGGCGTGCCTAGCTGTTTCACGCGCTTTAGGGTGGGGGGGTAGGTGTCCGCGCCATCTTGCGAGGACGGTGGGCGGGGTTTGGTAGTTTTTTCGGGCTTTTTGGACGGAAGAGAAGGGCTCTCGTCGCTACTTTTGGCATGTCTCTGGTTTTTCAAATGTGGAAGGATGGCACGCCATGACATGAGAGAGAGACCTGCGTTCTTATCGCCCTGTTCAAAGGCATGTCCCAGCGTGTTTCCTAGCTTGTACCACCGCCGATAGGTTAATAATAATGGCCAGTCTTTGCGAGCGAAGATCCGGGGAAGGTCTTTCCACCTTCCAGCCTGCGCATTGGATTTTTTTAGGTGAGACACAGTGTGCGCGGAACTGAGCCCACCCTTTAATCCTAAGGTTCATCTGCCGGGGCCAAGCGAGCTTGGACGGTGGCAGCGAGGTCCTTAGGACGTAGGTGGGTTGCCTTTAAGGGCTAACGAGCTCCACCTGCCCGGGAGTGGCCCTGACCGGGAATCGAACCCGGGCCTCGGCGGTGACAGCGCCGCGCCCTTACCACTAGACCACCAGGGGCTCCCGATAGGTTAATAAATCTGGGGAAATAAGCTTGTTCTTGGAAAGACATTTCGTTAAAGCTTTGAGGGACTTTTTATCTATGGGATGACCCTCAAAGAGTAGTATGGCTTTAATGCGTTTATAAAGCTGCTTTTCTGAGTTGGAAAGTGTGTTGCCCATATTGAAAGTAAAAGAAAAGGATTCTGGGATCACTCACAGGCTATCTTCAGCGAGGCGGTCCTCCAAACGCAGTCTGACGCTGGAGCGGGCTGCGACTACGATTCCCAGCGGCGTGTGCGGGGGCGCGGGGATCGCGGGAGCCTGGGCGGTTCCGCTGAGGCACTGCTCGGGTCCCGGCGCGGAGGGGGGCTGGGCGCTGGTTCCCGGCGCGGCGCGGCTCCGCGGCGGCTCGCTGCTCCGTTGGTCCTCGGGGAGCGGCGAGCGGTTTCGCGGCGGCTCCCGGCGCGCAGCACGGGGCGGCTCGGCGCGGCGGTGCCGTCCGAAGCGGCGGCTGCCCGGGCGGCAGGGGTGGGGCAGCTGCGCTGCTCGGGTGGCGGCGGCGCGCGGTCCCGGTTCCTCTCGCTCGGCGCGGGTTGTCCCAGCACCGGGGTCTCACGCAGCTGGTTTCTCGCAGTAACAGCGGCTGAAGACTGAGTGGGCAAAGCCCACTCGTGGCTTCTGTGAGTGGGGTCTTTGGGATAGACCGGACTCCGGAAATCCAAGTCTATCAGTAGCTCACGGGAGCCGAGATCTCTCTTAATATAAGAAAGATGAGTTCGAGCTCCACGTTCAGAGCGCCATTTATCGCGGGTGGGGTTTGGTCCCGCGACAGACCCAGCGGCACATCTTGTATGGGAGACAGGACACGCACACACACAAGTGTATGTGGCCCACAAAATGGCGTTTATTAAAACAAGAAGACAGTTTATATACAGGGGGATACAGAAGGTTCAGGAATAGAGGTGGGTTTCTTGCTGGGGAACCTCGAATCCCGTGAGCTAGTGATAAGTGAGCTTGGAGGGATAGGCTGCATAGAATATGTCTGGTCACGCCAGGGGAAGGGAGAGCTTAGGGAAGAATGGAAGGATTGTCCTGGGGGCAGAGACATGGGAATCTGCAAAGGCTACAAGGCTGCGGCCTTGTAGCTGGGTCCTAAGCAGTTCTGCGCAGCTGCAGTTACTAGGTGACTTCGATAGAGATCTCTTCTTCTGAGCCTTCTTTGTAGTTCTTTTGCATCTCTCTCCACTCTCTGTAGGCCTCTTCTGGTCCACCCCCGACACTGTCATATGAAGATATGTTCGTTTTATTTATCTCCTTGGGGATAAGAAGCCTGCTCAAGGAGTAAACTGATACAGGGAGGGTGTGTGTATGGCAGATAGTTTTTGCACAGAGGACAATATTAGCCAACATGGTCTCACCTGTGATGGATCGGATCTGTGTTTCTCCCAGCCTTTCCCTGTACCACATCCACTGTCATGGTTCGTTCACATGCTCGATCTCAGGTGACCCAAGTTTATCAGGTCCCTACTAGAAGGACCTTTGTTGCCAGCTGCAGGGGGACCAGGTGGGGCTGAGACTTTCTGCAGGCACTGTGTGGACTAGAAAAGCCAGTGTTGGGAGAGAAGAGAGCTGGTCTAGAAATTTGCTGGGTAGACCAAGAGTTGGTCTTCAGTAATGAGAGCTGCTCTCTAGGTGCAAGCCCCTCTGCTGGGAATGCAGGGCCTGGCTTCCCCATGCCATTATGATGCAAATCCAGGTTAGGGATTGAATGTCATATCTCTGAGTCCTGGCACTGAACTGAAGCAACTGTGAGGTGGGCGGTGGAGGGAAGGGAGTGGTGTCTGAGTGTACAGCAGGCTTGTCTTTGCTAGACCTGATCAGGAACTGCCTCCTCTGCCTCTCTCCCCTTGGTTGGCCCATTGCTCTGCAGGTGCTGAGGACATGGACCTGGCCAGACTGTGTCGCATGGGCCATGCATTCCCACATCCTCCATTGTGTCTTTTGTTTGCTTTTATAAATGCCATTTGGAAATGAAGTCTAGTGGTTCTTTTCTGCATCAGCCCTAGCTGCTGTATTTAATCATCATGGGGTTGCTCTCTGGTGCTGCCATGTTTCCAGCCACAGGCACCAACGACAACTAAATGAGCAGTTTCGGGCTCTGTCAGCACAGGTAGCACAACAAATCTTTAATTAGACATATCTTACAGATTATTACGTATGAGATTGGTATTTTGAGTTCACTGTCTCCATGTGCCTGTGGTTTGTGAGAGGCTCAGCTGGTGTGTTAAATCACCCCTTCAGTGGGGTTGGGTGGGCACAAGGTAACAGCAGCACAACAAATGTAGTGCACAGGGTGTTGAATTCATCTTTTCCGCCCCAAGGACCAAACCACAGTGAAATTATTTCCCTTTCCCAGACACAACTTGATTTTATGCTGCCCTCTCACAGGGACACCTCTGAAAACTGGAGGAAGCTGTTCACCACTGGGTCTGCTGCATCCAAACACAAATCATGACAGGTTAATCATCGGTGTTAGTTAGGAAGACTGTTCATTTGAAAGTCCAATTTCTTGACATCAATCAGCTTTCAGATTTTTGAAATCTCTGGGCACTTACATGTGGCTGTATTCCTCCCTGGAAAGAGCTTCCATGCAGCCCTTGTCCTGCATTAATCTCATGGGTGGCTTAGACTGCTGAGTCTTCCCACATCCCCGGCGATGCATGAGGCTGCTGCTTGAGGCAGCCTCCGTCTTGCCAGGAGGCTGGACTGGGTGGGACCTGAGGACCAATTTGGCACTGATTTTGCTTTCAGATGGCGGTGCATCAACAAGCCATAAGAGATGCTTCCAGCCTCTCAGTGTGTGTCTGGCTCCATGATGTGGTAGAAACCAAGTCCTCTTCCCATACCCCATAACCTGTCTCAACCTGCTCCTAGTGACTCTCACAGAGTGAGTTGTCATTTGCAACAGGGGAAATGGAGAAAGCTTCACGGACATTGTAATTTCTGGGCTTCAGGGTTGGCCCTTTCTGGACCTACTAAAAAGCAGAAAAGGGGTTTCAAACACAGCATGCAAACTGTATCCCTGAGCTTTCTGAGACAGAGGAAAAGCTCTGAGATGATCAATGCCCAGAATCAGTCACAGAGTGACTGGGGCTATTCTGCTTTTCTTCTGGGGACCCTTGGCAAGAGGAAAGGAAGCAAGAAGGACTGGATGGTATCCTGAGAGTTGGGGGAACATTCCTTTAAGACATCTCAAGTCTGTTTCCTGCCTCTCCCCTCACTGGTCAGGTGTGAGAGGTCACGGAGCAGTCAGAATCCTTCTGTTGAGGAGAGGTGGGAGCTCTGTATGCACAAGTATCTGGGGAACTGGATTCTGAATTTAGTTCTTCCTGGCTGAAATTAGTGCAAGCCAACTCAGTGATGGCTGTAGGTGTCGTGCCTCATCCCTGGAATTGTTCAAGGCCAAGCTGCATGGAGCCCTGAACAATGTGATCTAGCGGACGACATCCCTGCCCATGGCAGGACAGGTGAAACTAGATGCTCTTTAAGGTCCCCTCCAACCCAGACCATTTTGTGATTCTATAACCCTCTCCCCCACATGCCTGCATAAGCACAGAGAGCATTCCTGTGCATCAGTGTGGCTGGGACTCATGCTGGAGGGGCTGCAGTGCCAGCCCCTGCCTTATTATGCCAGCTTAAGGGACTTGTTCTTTAGCCCCTGCTGGCAACTAAGCCCCACACAGCAGCTCACTCACTCCCCAACAAGTGGGATCAGGGAGAGAATCAGAAGAGAAGAAGTTAGATAACAGGGGTAGAAATAAAGACAGTTTAATAGGGAAAGCAAAAACTGCACACATGAACAAAGCAAAGCAGAGCAAAACAAGGAATTACGCTGTCCACGGGCAGACAGGTGTTCAGCCATCTCGGGGAGAACAGGGCCCCATCACGTGTAATGGCTATTCAGGAAGACAAACACCATCAGTCCGTATGTCCCACCTTTCCTCCTTATTCTCCCCCACTTTATATACTGAGCATGATGTCATATGGTATGGAATATCCCTTTGGTTAGCTGTCCCAGCTGCGTCGTCTTCCAAATTCCTTGTCACAAGAAGAAAAGGCCTTGGCTTTGTGTAAAGCCCTACTCAGCAATAACATCAACGTCTCTGTATTATCGTTATTGTCTTCAGCACAAATCTGAAACATAGTCCCATACTTCTGCTGTGAAGAATATGAATTCTACCCCAGCCAAAACCAGCATAGGGACTCAGGATAATTTCACTCTGCAGCAAGATCCAAACCACCTCACCTAGCACTGCTAATGACTTGTCATACCTGAATATTTCCTCTATGGAGTCATATTGTGCTACAGCAATATCAGCTAGATGGGCTTGGGTAAACTGCTCTTGGTGTTCTCTTAATCCCCCCACAGATATCAATATCCTTCAAAAACAAAATTTAAATGTTTATGGTTTCTATGTAGTTAAAAAAGAAGCTAGAGGAGAGCAAACAAAGGGGATTTAGCATTTTAGCTATGTTGAAGCCCAGGCTGTCACACCTGCTTGTACCTCTCTGCAGAGGAGTCTGTGGTTCACTAGAGCTGTTGTGCATCATCCTGGGCCTCTCTGAGAAGCTACTGCATCAGCATCAGGAGCTGATGAGTAAGATACAACTGGATGCTGTGGGACCTTGCTCCTGCTGAGGGTATGCCAATCAGACTGGGAGAAGGAGAAAACCAAAATGAAGCTCCTGGGTGATAGAGAAGTGGTGAAATGGAAAACAGTGGTACCTGCTGTAGTGT